GTTTTAACAGACACTATATGACACTACCACCCAATGCACATAAACCGTGACCCATTTGTCATCCATTGATCTTAGCATGAATTTATAAGTCACTACCACCCAATACACACGTTCCATGACCTATTTGTCATCTATTGGTCTTAACATGACACTATAAGCCACTACCACCCAATGCACATGACCCATGACCCATTTATCATCCATTCATCTTAGCATGATAGTATAAGCTGCTACTACTCAATGCTCATGACCTATGGCCCATTTTTCATCCACTGGTCTTGAATATAATGATAGTTCTTGATTATGTGTCATGTGAGCTTATATGACTGGGGATCTATGATTGAGGTAAGCCCAACCTTACTATCACAAGACTCTTCATAAGGACCATCAATAATTGAATATCAACAATGATGTCACTAATGAATTAATTTTAGGCACATTGATTCCATTGCATTCTAGTAGATGCAATATGTATACATTCAATTTATTTAAATACGCTATGGTTTATTTCATGGTATTCATCTAAGATAACAATTCACCATTTAGAAATAAAAAACACGAATTCCTACGGCTAACAGAATTATCTTTATTAGTGTGGAACTTATTATCATTGTAACCTTTACATTGATGACTTCCATACTAAGATCCTTTGTCCTCTTAAGATTCTAAGGAATGTACTTAATTTTGATTCATGTATTCTTGCTAACTTGGTCTAATCAGAACTATCACGCTTAAGGTATACGAGTCATCAAATCTGGTATAAGTCACGATCGATTCCAAAAAAGAATCATATTGGGTACAACTCATTTCTTCTAGCGTAATCATATAACTAGGACATTAGCATTGCTTAAATGGCATACCATACTTTATTAGTATGGAATTTTATTCAAGTTCTAAATCTCGAGTTTCCTCTAGATTCTATGCTTCTGGCTAAATCTAATGAATTACATAGATAGATCCTTGTGTGCTGTTTATCCATGTTATTCAAAGCAAATCAATTCTCAAGCTAAGAAAAGCTATTACACTTGCTAAGTTAAACCATTGTTTCCAATAAATTATGTGTTATACATTACGAGCGTGAAAATAGTACTCTCACTAGCATTAACATGTATATGGCTATTCTTTGATTCTCTAAATTCACACCTCATTGAATTTCTCAATATAATAAGAATTCCTACTACTCCCACTGACTTTGACAAACTTATGGTCCACCTTAGTTTCTTGGAATTCAATACTCCTTGAATCTGTAATTAAATCAAGGATTCCATTTTTTGAGATCTTGTTTTAGTTCATAAATGAATTTCATAAGCTACACATTCTATACAAGTTATCTGGGTTTAACTATGTGTTTGTTTAGATCCCTACTTATTATCTTCTTGAAGAACCACTAATACTTACATGTTTGATCTTCTTTAAGGCCAAATGTTTGATCAACCAAGTTTCAAACTTATATGGACTTATTCTCCCTCTCTGTGTCATCCTTCCATCTCGCAACCTTTTAGGTACTGCCATAGCTTCTAATAGTTGGCATACTCTGATTTTTATCTACTAGTGACTCATATTCCTCCATAATATAGAATATATAAAATTAGTTATATGATGTCCTTTATCATGTCTATTAGGTAAAATTATAGGGATATCAGTTTCCTTAATAGATGTTTCAAACTCGAATTGAATGTTAAGATAGTTATAATTTCTTTATTACTTGATTCTTGAATCTTATAAAGATCAAAAATAATCTCACTAACTCTTTTGGATATCAGACCCCTTTTAAGAAAGACTATTCTTTGAGCAACTAACATTTGATCACAAAAGGTTTGTAAAATAATTATCCAAAATGCTTGTTAGGATATCCAACAAGACAACACATCTCTATTCTAAGTCCTACATTATCAAGTGTTTCATGAAGAATTTAAGCCTCATAATCATGGCATTCCAAATGTGCAAGTGAGGGTTAAACCTTTTCTTCACAACTTGTAGAGTGCTTTGTAAACTTTCTTAGTTGATTCAAGACCAATGTCTCTAGTAATTCTTATTCATGGCATAGTCCTTGAGTTGTTTGTAAAGCATAAGATGACTCATCAAGTCTCAAATAAAATAATGATTTTATTCTCTATATAACTACAATCCTTATGATAGTGTTTCGGGTGGAGACAAGATAGGAAACTTTTTCATAATTTCTTAGATGATCGATGTGGTTTAAACTAACATGCTCATATTCACTATAGAATATAAGTATCTCATCCTCTTGCTCGGTGGACCCTAAGGCTTCATCACAAGAGCTCTAGACACCTAAACGAATCTAGAATCACATTCATATGAATTTGGTCATGTACTCTAGTTAATCTAAATGACTTAATTAGTCTAATTTCAATATATATTCAAATTGCTAGGTGATGTCGGTCTCATTAATATTGATATATTATATTTAGATTGATCATAAGACTTGAGGCCGAATGATTTGCAATATCCTATCCAATTGAATCTTTATTGACGAAATTTATAATAACAAGATTATCATATCACAAGTACATATCATCCACACTATTCAATGTATTTGAATTAGCATGTGTTTTTGGCTAAATCTGAAGGGAGCGTCATTCAAATTAATTCCTTTGGATATTCATCTATTTTGAAAAGTAATGCTTGTATTTACCTTAAGACTCAAGGTCAAATGAATTAAAAAATCCTCCCGATACGACCTTTGGTAACATAATTCTCATTTCCAAGGATGATTCAACATTAGTACCATAAATTTAAATATCCAAATTAGTTTTGAACTATTATTCATATACTAGTTTTCAATCATAAACCTTTGACTAAACATTTAGGAAAATGAAATGTCTTATGATCCTTAGAATAGTATCAGTGACATGATATTCATGATCTAATTTCCTTCTCTTTGTTTCAGTCTTCTTAATCTCTTTTACTTACTACACATTCGTGAAAATGTCAGTACTTTATCCTTAGTAAAATACTCAAGGATTGAAAGTAATGTTCTAATGGTATTATGAATTTTCATATCTAGTTGTAGATTAAACATTAGGAAATGAGATCCACTTTGATCCTAAGGATAGTAGCATGAGCTTGGTATCCTTGATCTAACATTTTTGGAATGTAGTAGTTGGAACAAATTAATGAATAAGTTTATCAAAGGCATGATCTTTCTATTTCTATATGAGTCAAATTTGTAAAACTACATTTATTATCCTTGTAGTTAGTTCCTCAGGAGGTTTTATCGTAATAGATTTTATAGGATTATCTTGTAGACATCATTCAATATCAACGAAATAAGTTCACGAGAGATACATCATTTCAAACTTATATTCTCGTAATGATATATCGATTAACCACACAAACTCAATCATCAAAATATACATGAAATGTGTGTTTTGATGGGTGTAACACAACTCCTATTTTTATATAAGACATGAATTTGGTTTTATGACTCTTGTTAATACTTTTAACTTTAAAACACCTATCTAATCAAATCCTTTCGGAAACTCCAATCTCTAAATTCAAAAAGGCGGTGAGGGTGGTAAGCTATTTGTGATCAATGATAACGTTTATGCTAAATAACTGAGAACACATGTTTGTATGATTGTTGTTGAAGGTTTTTGTCGATCAAATACATTTCAAGTATAATAAACAAGAATATAATTACTAAACAAATAAAGAGCATAAAAGGTAAGAAACACGAGGAATTCACCAAATTGTCTTGCACCAAGAAAAGCTTTGTTTTGAATAACAAAACAGGTTGTCACAAAGACTGTCAACAAGATGATTAAATTAGGGTTTCACCCTAATTTTGAATATATACTATACTATACAAGTATATCCCTTGATTGAAGGGATTGTATCTAATCTATACTATGAAACGATCTTGATAGCAAAGATGGCAGATCTACTATCAATTCTATACTTATTTGTATCATTACCTAATATACAAAAATTACATGGAACTACTATCTACATGCTCATGCTGATAGACTTGTGAAGACGGTGCCGATGATCTTGTCACTGGTACTGGTAGATATTCTATAGTGTGTTTGAATCATCGGATCATACGGTATGACCTTACAGTCTCCCCCATCCAATGATGTCAAAACTAATCATCTTCTTCATAGTCATCATAACCATTGTAGAACTTATCAGTTGCATTTATGATCTCATGCTTAACCCATCTGAATTCATAAAGTTTAAGTTCTTCCAATATTTTACTAAAATCTAGGAAGATCAGCATGCAATATCCTCTTTCCAGTTCAAAATGACTAAGTCCTTCCATGCGAAGAGGAAATAAGTGTTCAATGGGAGCAACATGAAGATCATCATGGTGTTAAAAGCACATATGATTTTGACTGTCAAGATAGAAAATGGCATGTTCTACTTCTCGAATAAACATATACTAAACTGGTTCAACTCCTGCTGATAGTTCATTATTGATGTAGTGAGTTCCATATGGAAGAAGAAACTTTGTATTCTTGGATTGTTTGGGAGCTCTTGGTCTTCCTGAGGTAGATGGCCTAGAAGGACCAACATATGGCACATGATTCATCTTCTTGATTTATTGAGTAGCAATTGAATCATTAACTTCACATCTTGAGCATGAATACCTTTCTGTTTGTCGATAATTTCATGAATTTGTATCCACTTGCTATAGCCAAGTTTGAGTAGCTCACGAGCAAATACAACCTCATTGTATTCATATTTAATAATTTTCTTGACTGAGTGAAGCTTTAGATACTCGTTCCTTGGTTTTAATGCATCTCGCCCTGATGATGGAACAGGCTTTATTCTACGAGTCAAAAAATCTCCAAACTTCTTTTTGTTTTGTCATTCTACTCTTAATTCATGTGCTGTTTGTCCACATTATTATTAAAGAGCTGATTTTTCTTGACTTGATCATTAGTGATTTGAGCATCAACACTTTCATCAACTAAAGAAAGATCTTGAGCAAGTTTGGTAAGCGGACGTTCTCTTACTTCCTTAACTATTATGCCCTATACTTTAACTAAAACATTCAGATAAAAAATGAGTTTTCTTTTCTTGGAAAGAGGAGGTGTTGAAGGATCACTAGCAGTGGAACAACTTTCAGCTTTAGCGTCATCGACTCCCCCTAAGAAGGAAGCCTTCTGCTTTTGATGATTTAGTTGATCATCATCCGACTTAAAATCACTATTAGCTCCCTAAGAAATCCCCCCCCCCCCCTCAAAATATGAGTAAGGATAGACAAAATTCAAAGCAATAGTAGAAACAACAGCTTATGGCATGAATCCTAGATCAAGAAGCCCTTTATTTCATCAGTTTCTGATTGATCGCCAACGTCTAGAATTAGCTGATTATCAGTTGTTGCATCAGCATCTAGAATGTTGCTTCCTTTACCAGCAAAAATAATTTCCTTTTGACAGTCAGTTTCAACCCTTCCAGCTTCAGTCATCTCAAGCTGAGATGAAGTTGATGCAGTTACCACCATGCTTTAAATCTCTAATCAAGACTCTCTTCACTATTCTCCCCCTTTTTGGAAGCATCATATTAGAGAGGAGAGAAAAGAGGTGGTGAAGGAGTATGAGGCAGAGGATGAGATGGTGGAGGAGGTGGTAGAGGAGGATTTGATGATGAAGGTGGATTTGGAAAGGATTATCACCTGGAGAGTTTGTTGGCAGTGTCATCAATAATCATATCATCATCATCGCCCAAGGCCATAAATAACTTCATATCAGAAACATCATTTTCCACTCTAGTCAGCCTTTCTCATAATGATTGAGTTATCTTCATAAGTAGAAAAAGTTGAGAAAGCACAGTCGTTTCAAAATTGGATTTGGATTCCCCTTGATAGACAGTAGTAGTCTAAATAGGTATTGACATAGGAAGAACATTCTTAGGGTGATATCCAAATTATCTTCAGATGGAGCAGCGCTGATCATCTTTGAGGAGAGAGCATGAATTGGAATGGTGATCCCATGATTTTCAGTATAGCCTTCATTACTAGCCAAAATCAATCCAAGCCAACGGGTATAAGGAACATATATTGGTTTCTTGTTCCCAATGATACAATCAATCATCTGATCAAGAAAAAGTTGAGTAAAATCCAATCATTTATTTCATATAATAGAATACAAAATTCTTTTCTCAAAAAGATTCAGTTGGTCTAAAATTCTAGTCTTGTGTCCAAGGTACTTGCCAATAACCCCTGTTAAGTACTTCCATCCTACACCAAAACACTAATGGATAGTTTATTTGTGTGTATCACAAGAGGTTCCTTCAAGAGAAAAGTTATATCGTAATCTTTCATGAACAAACATAAACTTATCTTCTAAAGGAGTTTCAGAATAATTTTCTAATTCAGGAAGACGATGAGTAGTTCGAAAAGATTTCACATCAATAGTAACCCTATATTAACCATCTCCAATGCTCCCAATAATGGTTTGATCATCAAAATCAACAGAACATGAATAGTATAACTCGTATACTTATTTAGGGTAAATTGGCTATGAAAATTTATAGAAGGCATATCAAAGAGGGTAACTTTTGACACAGTCGAAGAAGTCTTTGATGCCTGAATTCACGAACTATTATGGAATGTCATCAGAGAATGTCAAATTGTTTTCTTGATTGGAGATGAGAGAATTAGGGCATCAGGACGCTTGATGATATCAAGGATAGGGGCAAACTCGTACATAGGCTTTAACATTTTAAGAGCTTTATGGAAGATGACGGTTGGGAGAGCCTTTTTCGAGAGAGAAACGCAATTGCATGGATATATTGTAAAAGTGATCTAGGACGGAGCATTCCTAATTTATACAAAACAAAAAAAAAATTTCCCTTTTACATAATCATGATTGAAGAGATATGCAGTGTAAACATTTCGTATCACAAGATACTGGTAGACCTTTTAATCGTCATCCAAAGAGTTACCGTTGAGATAAGGAAATTACATTAGTGAGACATAAATTCATCAACAACGTTCATCAGTGAAAGCAATTAGTGCATTAGATTTACATCTTATAATCTAGTAAGTTTGTGATGTCGCCTGATAGTGTGAGCTGAAACTATCATTCACTGACATAGTATTTGTGACAACTGGGAAATTTTAGAGAAACTAAGGTCTAAACTTTAACCATGTATAGGTAAATTCACAACGTAAGATTTATGAAATACGACTATCAAAGACAAGAGACATGTTTATATAAGTTATTAAGAATAGACTTTGAAAACCATACTTATATAAGTCATAGATACTTATATATTGAAAACCAAGTTGAAATAAATTAATACCAGTCAACACAAGTCAAAGAAATAAATAAATAAGACATCAAACATAGACTTTACACCATACTTTAGGGATTTCGGTTTTGAGAATCTAGGAAACAATTTTGGAAGGAAAACACCTACTTTATGAATGCTAGAACCGAAATCTTCATGAAGCTAAAGGATGGCTGAATAAACCACATGGTAAGGACCGAATCTCAAGTCGAAGGCCCATTAAGGACCGAATTCAAGACTTTGAGTTGTGTACTAAGTGAGTTTGGTGATACCATGGGCGAAATCACCCTTGTTGTGGCTAAAAACTCATTTAAATATCAAGATATTTAGCCACTTGATTTGAATATTTTTTCCCAAGAAGATAACTTACATTTACCAACGTAAATGTCACCCCATATATATATATATATATATATATATATATATATATATATATATATATATATATATATGATTTGGAGTCATTCCCAAACATACTTCCAGTGAGAAATTTCTCCTCATATTCCCTCTAATCAATCACATTTTTCCTTTCAACCTCAACATCAAAAGAATCCCAGGAAGTCTATTTCTTCAAAGTTGTTATTAGAACTTAAGGTAAGATCATTTAATTTTATGTTATTACTAATACATCCCATGATTAGTTCATCGAATTAAAACATTATTATGTGTTCAAACGATTAGGGTATGACACCCTTACGTATTGTAGCTCGAAGGTCACTATATCTATGTCGTTATCTAATCTCAATCATGCTCAAGGTGAGTTCATACCCCCACGTTTTTAAAGATTTTTTCAGGGGGGGGGGGTGGAATACAAGTAAAACACAAGGAAAGTTGTGTTAAAATTTCAAACCATTTATTATGTTTTATTATATTTTATACATATTACATAAAAAGGTTAAATAATGTCACTACCAAAATTATAAATTTTTACATGCAAAGTGTTAAAATACAAAGGTTTTTCATTTTAATAGAACATACATTATAAACTATAATAGGTATAGTTGATGAGTCATTTTACAATATTTATACACTTAGACTTTCTATGGAAAAGTTATATTTTCGTTTACTAAAGTGTATTACAATTTCATTTACTAAAGGGTTTTCAGTTCATTACTGGTAAACTCGTTGAAGCAATTTGTGAGACAGTCATCAAGTAATTACATAAGTACCAGAGAAAGTCCTAACTTACAACCCGATTCTCTTTTAAGGAGAGACAGAGATATTTGTGTATGTATCTATATGAGACTGACAATCCCACACCCTAACTGTTAGCTACAGTTGGCCTTGCATGTTTGGGGTGACGAATGTCATTAACATTTCCAACGCCTGCAGAACGTCGTGTTCAGGCCATCTTAGATCATAGTATGGTTATAAGAACTAACATGGAAAAAACGACATATTTAAGGAGTAATATATTTTCAAACAGTCTCATGTGAGAATTAGCTTTACATTTTGTTTATGAGGAAAACATACCTTCAAATCGTTTTACATAACAATAAAGCTACATTACACAACTTCTCAGTACAACAAGGGTTACATTTCTAGAAATATACATTAAAGGAGATACATACAAATACAACTACAGTACACTATTTTCCTAGTACAATGAAAGTTTTATTTATGAAAGGACCATTATTGTTAACTGAGTGATTTTTTAGTATATATATAACTAGTATACACTAATTGATCATAGGAGGTAATAGTATGGGTCATATCAATTACATGAGTTTAAAACTACAGATCTTTTACAAATAAAATATTAGAATTTTTGGAAGAGCCACTAACGTTTTCAAGAAACAAAGGACATATTTTTCATACAAAGGACATATTTTTCAAACAAAATGCTTATGAACTCACCAACTTAAATGTTAACACTTTTTAATCACTTGTATTCTCAGGAACTTAGTAGACAGATACTCACACAGTGTAACGACCAAAAGTTTCAACATAATTTAAACTTTTCAAAACAATCCATTTTAACAACATTATTACAAAAAGGTTTTCAATGCATTATTTATCAGAGTATTCCCAAGTCCATTTCATAAAACATAAACGCGAGGAACGATACGGTCACGCCTTTGCCTTGCCATAGTCTCCTGAAGAACCTGAAAAACATTAAACCACAACTGTAAGCCCGAAAGCTTAGTGAGATACCCCCAAAATACCAACCACATATACGCCCTTCCAGGCTACGACCTTCTGGTCCAAAAACATATTGCCTTCCGGCCCATAACATATTGCCTTCCGGCCCATAACATATATAGCATACATAACATATCAGAACATAGAACAGCCATGCATATCGGGTCTACTGTGTGACTGGTCCACCGTATCGGGCCTTCAGTCCACCAGGTCCCCCCCTCCGAGTCTAGTCATGTCCTTCGAGTCTACAGTGTGGTTGGTCTGCCCGCATCGGGCCTTCAACCCACCTGGTCCACTCTCTGAGTCTACAGTGTAACTGGTCCGCCCGCATCGGCCCTTCAGTCGGCCTGGTCCACTCTCCGAGCCTCGGCACGTCTGGTCCGCCCTCGTGGGGCCTACATCCTATCCGGACCGCTCGCTGGGCCTTCGGAATAACCGGTCCGCCCTGGGTATCTTGGCCTACAGCACAAAGCAGGACCCGCCTCAACCCATCTCCAGTCCAAACAACCATGTGCACATAACATACAATCATATAACAGTCATAGTCAACAAACCAATCAAGCAGATCACATAACATATCATTACCCTAACCAGGTTACCGACCTAACCGGTCACTAGCATAGCATCACTCTACATATCAGGAAACCGACCTTAATTAGGTCTCTAGCATATACCATCCTAGATACTAGGATGCAAACATACCAAGCAATAACATAAAACCCATATTCGAATCACAATCCAATAAAGGTTCGGCCTTGGTGCCTTAGACCCTATCGATATAGTGAGGATAACTCACCTCGCAAATGCCGATACTCTGAACTGAAGAAACAGATTCTCGAACCACCAACTCACCGCAAATCCCGAACTAACCAACATAACAAGCATAAGCATTAGGTCAACATACTTCCACTTATCGGGCCAAGACCAAAGTCCCAATCTCACACAAAGTCCAACATTGGCCCAATTTACCAAATTGGGCCCACCTCACCAAAAGGGCCTAGATCCAATATCCATAATATCAATTGGGCCCAAAATACTCTATTCATAATTTCCAGAATTGGCCCAAAC